GCAGACGCAGCTGCACGTGGCAGCAGCCCCGGGGGCGATTCCGAGAGTACCCAGAGACTCCAATATCCCTTAATTAAGGAATATACCCTTAAATTAGAATAGGATCCCTCATAGGATTTAAGGTATAATCCTTAATTTAGGGATATGGGAGTCTCTGGGTAGGGCTTGTAAGCTTAGCGTGTGGTGTATGGCAGCCTTGATAAGCACAGGATTGTGGCCAAAAGCTAGGGATTTACATCAAGGCCCCAAACCTCAAACCATACAAACCTTATAAAAGCCTGATAGCCTTAATGCACTCGGGTGGAGAGCGCTTTCAAGCAAAATGAAAGATCCTGGAAGCCTTAAGTAGCACCAGGGACGCTTTCGCCCTGCACATACCAGCTCTGCTAAACCCCGATACAGCCCTTAAATGGATTGGGTCCTACACCCTGAACCCAAAACCCTCCCTTAAACCCGAACCCTAGGCGTTAAAACGGAGTCCTCTTGGGTGTAGGGCTTGGGGTTTGGGGCAACAACGATGCCCACCAGGCCTTGGCAAACGTCGCCGCGATGCTGTGTGCGCCTGGAGTGCCTCTTCAGGCACGCTTGGAGGGAAAGTCCTAAAAACCCGAAGAAACCACAGGTCGAGCCAAAAGGACCAAGAAGCCCAGCAACCTTAAAGTTGAAAGAAACACTCGAAACCCTGAATCTTAAAGACGACTTAAAACGCCAGACCCTAGAACCCTACACCCCTACACCGGAAGTTTGGATGTAGCGGCTGTAGCGTGCAGGACTTGAGGCAGGATCTGGCTTGGTCTGAGAAGTATTCAACATATATCCCTGGGCCCTGGGGGTTTGGCCCAAAAGAAGTTAAGACCTGCGGTTTAGGGTTTAGGGTTGAGGGTTTAGGGTTTAGGGTTGAGGGTTTAGGGTTTATAGGGTTTATAGGGTTTATAGGGTTTATAGGGTTTATAGGGTTTATAGGGTTTATAGGGTTTATAGGGTTATAGGGTTTATAGGGTTTATAGGGTTTATAGGGTTTATAGGGTTTATAGGGTTTATAGGGTTCATGAGGGTTTATAGGGTTTATGAGGGTTTATAGGGTTTAGGGTGTAGGGGTTAGGGTGTAGGGGTTAGGGCCGGAACCTACTGCGTAGGGTTCAGGGTTTAGAAATTTAGGGTTTGGGGTTTAGGGCTTAGTGGCTAGTTCTACTTCGATGCTCTTTTAAGTTCGTAAGTCCACTTAGTATCCCCTGAAAAACCCGAATACAATACCCAGAGCCCACCTTACTAACCCTACTTACTAAGTCGAAAGGGCTTCCAAGTAGTAGTTCACGCCAAGTCCGAGACGTTTACCTCCTCAGAGCCCCGAAAAACCCATACACCCTAGACACCCCAAAACCCAAACCCCAAAACCCAAACCCTAAACCCTAAACCCGAACCCTAAATACCCCACAAGACCCCCAAAAGACCCCCAATACTACCCCAACAAGACCCTACAATGCCCCATAACCCCTAAACCTTAAACCCTAAACCCTACACCCTAAACCCTCAACCCTAACCCTAAACCCTAAACCCGAAACCCTAGCCCTAAACCCTAAACCCTAAACCCTAAGCCCTAAACCCTAAACCCTAAGCCAAGCTCCCCCCAAACAGGTGATGTCGGCCCTGACTTCGCTTGCCAATCTGCTGCCTTGGGTGGAAGGCAGCTCTCCCCGTGGGATTCGAGGATCCCCAGTTTTTAGGGGTTTAGGGTTTAGGGTTTAGGGTTTAGGGTTTAGGGTTTAGGGTTTAGGGCTTAGTCTCAAACCGCCAATGAACAAAACAAGTTCTCCTGGTGTTCCGTTAACTTGCTTGTGAAGCTACTTCTTGCTCGGTGCTGCCGTCCTTAAGGACCAAATGAACCTTAAAATTGGGGTCATATGCCCTGTGCTAATATAATTTCCTATTAGAGTATGTGAACCCTTAACCCTGATCCCTGAGCCCTAAACCCTAAACCCTAAACCCTAAACCCTAAACCCTAAACCCTAAACCCCAAACCCTAAACCCAAAACCCTAAACCCTAAACCCTAAACCGTGGCTTTCATTTAGTCCTTGAGCTCCATGGGGTCGCGGCCCAGGGTTGAGGGTTCAGGCCCTAAGCCGTGGCCCACAGGCCTACTCGCGGAGATTCAGGGTCCCCCGTTGCCAAAACGAGGGTTTAGGGCTTAGGGCTTAGGGCTTAGGGCTTAGGGCTTAGGGTTTAGGGTTTAGGGTTTAGTGTTTAGGGTTTAGGGTTTAGGGTTTGGCTTAGGGTTTAGGATCTTTGTTAGCCTTTTGCAACAGAACCGGTTTTATGTCCGGTACAGGTGTTGGCTGGTTTGTCCCCTCGCGCAAAAGGAACTTGCTGACCAAAGTTTCAGGGTTAATGACCGGCCCCTCAAGCTGTGCCGGTACACAAGCCTGTTGTCGTGCTGAGAGTTGCAAGTGGTGGTCTACCGAACGAACGCTTCGGAGAGGGTTTAGGGTTTAGGGTTTAGGGTTTAGGGTTTAGGGTTTAGGGTTTAGGGTTTAGGGTTTAGGGTTTAGGTGCGTCACACCCAAGGGCAAGATCTGGAGAAGGCGCCATGGTCGTGCAATGACTGGTCTGGAGAAGCTGATCTTCCAGCGCTTTCCTGTACACCAGGTGAAGCTGCAGCATCTGACGGAAGAGGAGACCGGAGTGACTGGTGCGCATATGACATTTCATGTTGTGTGAAAGTTGGTGTTTTCGGAAGATTCCATGACTCGAGTGGGTATGTCTGTAGACTGGGGCGAGCTCACAAAGCGCGCTCCCGTTTGGCACGCCCCAAACCCGAACACCCCAACCGCATCGCCTACAGAATTCCCCGACACCTTAGGCCCATCTTCTTTCTCATTAAGCATTAGTTGCGCTGAGTTAAACCCGAAGCCCTAAGCCCTAAACTCTAAACCCTAAACCCGAAAAAGCTCTGAACACCGACTTTCTGAGAAGCTCGTTTTAGGGTTCTGGATTAGGTTTCAGGGTGTACGGCGGACACAGCAGATCACAATACACTTGGAGGAAGCAGCGTCAGTTCTATCTCTTCACTTCCGCCCCTAACCTCACAGGTTCGGGTTTAGGGTGAGTCAGGCTTCTGGTAAGGTCGCCAAACCATCACCACCCTTGTTGCGGACCTTTTTTTATCTTCTGGGCAGCTGCCCTATGTGATACGCCTGTTCGCATTATACTTCTTAGGGTAGTTGCATGCATCCTTCACATGGGCTCTTAGAAGTTGGAAGCCTTGTGGTGCCCTCCGATGCCCTGTCGGTTTAGGTTCAGGGTTCAGGGCTTAGGCCCATCTTTCAGCACCTTCGAAAAAAGGTGAGGGACCATCAAAAGCTATCTGTAGACCCCTAAACCCTAAATCCTAAACCCTAAACCAAACCCTAAACCCTAAACCCTAAACCCTAAACCTAAACCCTACAGGGCTTAGACCTTGCAAGTCCAGAGGCATCCTCGTCAGCCTTAACCTTAAACTTTAGCTTAGGGAGGCCAAGGACACAGCCCCAAATCCTAAACCCTAAACCCTAAACCCTAAACCCTAAACCCTAAACCCTAAACCCTAAACCCTAAACCCTAAACCCTAAACCCTAAACCCTAAACCCTAAACCCTAAACCCGAAAACCTAAACCCTAAACCCTAAACCCTAAACCCTAAACCCTAAACCCTAAACCCTAAACCCTAAACCCTAAACCCTAAACCCTAAACCCTAAATAAATCCTAAACCCACTCTCGGCCAGCAGGTGGCATGTCGTGCGCGACTCAGCCAGCTCGCCCCACAAATTTCAGTTCGGGGATTTGCCCGTTTAGAGGTGCCCAGGCAGAAGCTGCAGGGTCGTTTACGGCCCAAACCCGAACCCTAAACCCTAAACCCTGTTGAGGGTTTGAGGGTTGCGGGGTTAAGGGTTTAGTGCAGTGGTGGGCGCCTGGAAACCCTACGTGACTGTCTGGCTACGTTTCTGCCCTAAACCCCAAACCCCAAACCCTAAACCCTAAAACCTAAACCCTGAACCCTAAACCCCAAACCCTAAACCCTAAACCCTAAACCCTAAGCCCTCAAACCTATAAGCCCAAGTCTACAGCAATGGCATCCTCCTATAGGGCACAGCGACCTTTGGTCAAGGGACTCAAGGACGGACCCTTATAAGGGACCTTAGGGTTTAGGGTTTAGGGTTTAGGGTTTAGGGTTTAGGGTTTAGGGTTTAGGGTGTAAGCGGCTACGTAGGTATGTGGGGGACTACAGTAGTGACTATAGACGGTGTATATGTAGGCGTACATAAGGGGAAGAAGATTAGTGGTCCCTTCTACGGTCCCTCCTAGATCCGTAACCCTAAACCCTAAACCCTAAACCCTAAACCCTAAAGCCTACTAAACCCTGGTCTCTAAGTATAAGAGAAAATCCCACTATTTTGGAGGCTATAATATTACGGGTCCCATATTTTCTTAAACCCCCATAGCCCTGACTTTGGTCTCAACCCTAATCCTAAACCCTATACCCTTGTTCACCCGAAACCCTAAACCCTGAATTTGGTCTTATATACGTACCAGATAGAACTCCGAAGTGTGCCCTTGTACGGCTCCGCCTCAAGGGTCCTCCTTTGGGGTTTAGGGTTTCAAGGTTTAGGGTCTAATGTTTTGGCTTTAAAACATGTTCAAAGTTTAGGGTTCAAGGTTTAGTTCTCAAAGTTAGGGGTTTAGGTTTAGGGTTTCAAGTTTAGGCTTTCGGCTTTAGTTCCGCGATGCAGGGCTTGCCTGTAGTTTTGCAGTTTACGCTTCGGAGCCAGGTGCTGCAAATGGGACTTTGAAGTATGTGCTGGCTAGCGCCGAAGCTGTGTAGGCTCAGGCATCGGGCTTGGGTATTCAGCGCTTGGAATCTTTGGGCTTCCGATGTCGTCAAGTTGGGATTTTAGGGTTATATCGTTCACAGAAGGTTTGGGTAAACTTCCACCAGGCCGGCAGAAGCATCTGAATCCCAGTCGCGATGCTGCGGGTATACTCGATGTCAGGGGAGGAGCTGTGTGCAACTCCTGCAGAGGAGCTCACTGATGTAAAGGCCTTGAAGCAGCAATTGCAATCTGCGTGCGGTTGCTCCCGTTTTCGACAGAAGCTACTACACCAAGGCCGGGTCCTGAATGATGGTGAGTGTCTGCAGGGATGTTGCATTGACCTGGACTTCGTACTGCTGCCTTTCTGCAATACGAAGAGGCGCCCGCGGTGCTATGAGCTTCAGAGCCTGGGCAGTCCAGGGGTACCTTGTTTGCCCCTTTTGCTGTCTATTTGTGGGCTCAAGGTTCCCTTATAAAAACCAAAAAGGGGGTACCCTTTATCAGAATATGGTTACTATGGCTACCAACCCTAAAACTCAAAAAAAAACCTAAAACCCTAAAACCTTAAACCCGAAATCCTAAGCCCCAAAACCCTAAAACCCTAAACCCTAAACACTAAACCCAGGAGCTGGGTATACAACGGTGACGTGGCGCGAGTCGAGCAGGTGCTTTCAAGGGACTACGAGAGGGACCCTTATAATAGGGTTTAGGGTTTAGGGTTTAGGGTTTAGGGTTTAGGGTGTAGGGTTTTGGGTTTTGGGTTTAGGGTTGGAAAGGGGCTACTTAGGTATAGGGACTATATAAGGTGTGTATATAGGGGTCGTTTTGGGGAATTAGATTCAGGGTCCCTACACCCTAAACCCTAAACCCTAAACCCTAAACCCTAAACCCTAAATCCTAAACCCTAAACCCTAAACCCTAAACCCTAAACCCTAAACCCTAAACCCTGCCCCTTAACAGGTGCTTTCAAGGCCGCACGATCCGAACCCTGACTCGGACATGGACAAGGAGCTTCCATTCACACCTCTCAGAGTCCCAGCTTCTGTCTAGCTTCCCGGGTTTAGGGTTTAGGGTTTAGGGTTTAGGGTTTAGGGTTTAGGGTTTAGGGTTTAGGGTTCAGGGGTAGGTTTTGGGGGTAGGTTTTTGGGGGGTTTAGGGCTTAGGCTTTAGGCCGTAATTAGGGCTTAATTAGGGCTTGGATCTTCGGCCCGCTCCAGGCCTCTACTTCTTAATCCCTCAAAGAACAAAGGGTTTTCTCTCAAAAAGCCAAATCCCGAAAACTTCATCCTAGGATGCCCAGTAGTACCCTTATTCCCTTTTTGGGGGGTTTAGGTTCCCTTATAAACCCCTTTAAGCAAAGAAGGGCACCCTTTTGAAGCCTTGGTTACTGGGCAGCCTAGCATCCCTTACCCCCAAGAACATGTTGGGAGCTCAGGATTGGCTTGCCAAAGAGGTCACTTGGAGATTGTGAGGCTTCTGCTGGAGGCCTGTGCGGATACGGACCACACGGGAGGTTTCCATGAAACCCCACTGAGAGTGGCGTGCGAAAATGGCCACCTCGAGATTGCTCGACTGCTGATCGATGCGGGCGCCGAGAAGGACGGCATCGATGAAGACATGCACACTCCTCTGGCAGTGGCATGTCAGAATGGCCATACGGAGATTGTGCAATTGCTCCTGGAGGCCGGCGCAGATACGCGAGTCACCAGAAGACAGCACGGGAACAGCAATCCACCCCTGGTAGAGGCATGCGACAAGGGCTTTGTAGAGATTGCTCGGCTCCTGTTGGGGGCCAGCGCTGACGTTGGCCACTCCGATGAAATGATCGAAACCCCGCTGTCTGCGGCATGCCAGAATGGGCATACGGAGCTGGTGCAACTACTCTTAGAGGCCGAAGCCGATACTGAGTACACGGGGTTCTATCTGCCGAAATCCCCGCTGATCGTGGCGTGTGAGAAGGGCCACGTCGAGATTGTCCGACTCCTGCTGAAGAGCCGCGCAAACTTGGAGACCACGCGTGATGATCTTGACAGAACACCGCTGATCGTGGCATGTGTTACTTGGTTTCCCACCGGTACCGGCTGTCTTTTTTTGGGGGGGGCTGGGTTGAACTCACGAATGAACTGCTTCCTTTCATTTTACTTCCTAGGATCCGGAGTGGGCCCCCCTGATTCCCTTTTTTGGGGTTTAGGGCCCCTTATCATCCCCTTGAAAAACCAAGAAGGGCACCCTTTTCATACCTAGGTTACTCCTGGGACTACTTGGAGGTTCATGGCACTTACTCACCAGCTATCACTGCACTTATAACCCACTTCTGAGCCCCTTAAGTGCCCCAAAACCCTAAACCCTAAACCCTAAACCCTAAACCCTAAACCCTAAACCCTAAACCCTAAAGGGTGAATAAGTACTTTGAACCTCCAAGTATGGGCTGCATCTCCAGAGCCGCAATGTAGGATTAGGACAATGGAGCCACTTGGTGCCCAAACCCTGCACAATAACCCTAAACCGTGCAAGCCTTTGCAGTCCCTACATGCTCAAGCCGAACCTCCCCAAACCCCTAAACCCTAAACCCTAATTAAACCCGAAACCCCCCAACCTTTATCTCGTCCACTTGGCAGGAGCAAGGGCATGCGGAGGTGGTTCGAGAGCTGTTGGCAGCCGGGGCCGACAAAAACAATGCGGGCGGTTCCCGCGAACCGCTGACACTTGGCGTAGCCCAGTGGACCCTAAACCCTAAGCCCTAAGCCCTAAACCCTAAACCTTTTCACATTTTTCTTTTGGCTTCAAGGTTCTCTTATAAAGTAGCCAACACCCCCCCCCCCCAAAAAAAAAACAAAAAAAAAGTGACCTTGTTGAAATATGGTTCCTGGGCTACCAAGGATCGCAGCATGTGAGTATGGCCACGCGGACGTTGCCCGGACGCTCCTGGAGGCTGGGGCCTTCGTATGTGAGAACCTGGGTGGCCCAGTGGTACCCTTTACCCTTTTAGGGTTTAGGGTTTAGGGTTTAGGGTTTAGGGTTACTGGGCTACCAAGGAACTGGCACGTGCGACGGCTGTTGCTGTCCGACGCCGAGGTGCAGCTTCGCCGGCAGCTGCCAGCTAAGACTCTCGGTAGGCCCTGGGGGGGGCATTCTATATGTTCCCTTACAAGGGTTTAACGGGATCGGGTTTAGGGTTTAGGGTTTAGGGTTTAGGGTTTAGGGTTTAGGGTTTAGGGTTTAGGGTTTAGGGTTTAGGGTTTAGGGTTTAGGGTTTAGGGTTTAGGGTTTAGGGTTTAGGACCCTTTTTTTTCTCAGAGGGCTCTATTGGCCATCCTAGGGCGGTCACAGATCTTGCAAAACGTCCATCGAGAGCCCTTGGTCTGCTCCCTGGTATCTTAGGGATGCTTGGGAATACATTTTAGTTTACAGGGCGCTTTAATTCCTAAGAAGCTTAGAAACCCTAAACCCTAAACCCTAAACCCTAAACCCTAAACCCTAAACCCTAAACCCTAAACCCTAAACCCTAAACCCTAAACCTTTGAGGGGGGCGCTTTAATTCCTAAGAAACAGCCAACATTCTAATTATTCCTAGGGTTCCAAGTTCAGTATAGGTATGATGGATCTCTTGAGCAAGGCATCTTGTACAGTTGCCCTGCTTGTGGCGTTGCTCTCCGTACCTGTGATCGCAATCCGGCAGCTGCGTGCACGCCCTCAAGCAGGCGACAGCTGACAGAAAAGGTGCAATTCATGCTGCACCCTAAACCCTGAGCCCTAGAGACCCAAACCCTGAAACACTTACACGACGCAATCTGGGGCCCCTGAACCCTATCTTAGTAGTAGAGCAAATAACCTGTGACTTTTTGGGGTATGGTATTTCCTACATAAACCCAAAGGTGACAACTAAGCTATAACACTTAACATCTGTATTGAGGCGCTCCATAAGAGACAGGCCTAGAAGCCCCATCAACTCTATAAAAAAACGCTAAAACCCTCAACCCTAGCCCTAGGCCCTAGACTCAGGGTTTAGGGTTTATGTTTTAGGTTTAGGATTTAGGGTTTAGGGTTGAGGGTTTAGGACCCTAAACCCTCAACCCTCAACCCCAGAGCCTATAAATGAATCCTGGGCCCTTAGCTGCAAGAGGGCTACTCAAGCTCTTGGGATAGGGTTTAGGGTTTAGGGTTTAGGGTTTAGGGTTTAGGGTTTAGGGTTTAGGGTTTAGGGTTTAGGGTTTAGGGTTAACGGTCGCTGAGGCCCCCGGGGAGTTGCAGTGAGTGCTCAAGGGGGCTAACGGGGTTTAGGGTTCGGGGTTTCGGGTTTGGGTTTGGGGTTTAGGGTCTTGACTTTAGGGTCTGGAGTTCCGGGTTTAGGTTTTTTTTTTTTTTTGGGGGGGGGGGGGGGGGGGGGGGGGTTAGGGTTTAGGACTCAAACCCCGACACAGTTGATTAACTTCGAGTTTCTCACGGGCCTCGAGGTGGGTTTCTGTTGTTAAAAGGTTGAGGGCTGCGGGCCCTCAAACGCTTCAGGGGCGGCTTAAGGTTTGGGGTTAAGGGCTGCGGCTCTCAAACGCTTCAGGGTCTAGGGCTTAAGGTTTAGGGTCAAGCCAGCAAACACTTTGAAGCTTCCTTGCCTTGTTGACTGAACCTCCTAAACCCTGAACCACTTCAACCCAAACCTCCTAAAAGCATACATCCTTCAGCCCACCAAGCCCTAAAGCCGACACCCTACACCCGAAGCCCCCCTTCTAAAGCCTGAACCTCCAACACCCCCAAACGTAAACCCCAAGCCTCCTGCCCCTGCAACCCTAAACCCTAAACCCTAAACCCTAAACCCTAAACCCTAAACCCTAAACCCTAAACCCTAAACCCTAAACCCTAAACCCTAAACCCTAAACCCTAAACCCTAAACCCTAAACCCTAAACCCTAAACCCTTACCCTAAACCCTAAACCCTAAACCCTAAACCCTAAACCCTAAACCCTAAACCCTAAACCCTAAACCCTAAACCCTAAACCCTAAACCCTTACCCTAAACCCTAAACCCTAAACCCTAAACCCTAAACCCTAAACCCTAAACCCAACCCTGAACCCCAAACCCCGAGCCTCCTCAGATCTAAACCTCCCAGGTCCTGGCGCAGCCTAGCGAAAGCTGACCAGTGGCCTGGTGCTGGAGGCTGCGGGGGCGGGGGGGGCACCCTAAACCCTAAACCCTAAACCCTAAACCCTAAACCCTAAACCCTAAACCCTAAACCCTAAACGCCTTGGACTTACTGCTGCCAGAGCTTTGAAAGCGTGCCCTGAAACCTAAACCTTAAACCCTCAACCCTAAACCCTAATTCCCCCTAGACGGAGGGTCGTCGGCTCCCCTTCCCGCAGAAATTCCTACGATTTCCGCAAGAACCACAAAAAAAATCAAATCCCTACATTACCCCTTTTAAGGAAGAACATGTCTTTCATGTTAATCATTTTTCCTTGGGGGGGGGGGGGAAGTAGTGAACCTTCATGTTAACTTTTACCGGCAGTCGCACTTCGGCGCTGGGACTTGGCAGCACAAGATGGTTTGCTTAGGGTTCAGGGCGCATTTGTTTTTTTAAGGTTAGGGTTTAGGGTTTAGGGTTTAGGGTTTAAAAGGGTTTGGGGTTCAGGGTTCGGGTTCAGGGTTTTTGTTGGGTTTAGAAGGGTTTAGGCGTTAGGGTTTGGGAGGTTTTCTGGTGTAGGGATGTAATGGTTCAGGGACCAGGTCTGTGGGCTTCGTGCCGAAAGGCTTTGGGGTTCTTGAAGGCTTAGTAGGGTTGAGGAGATCAAGTGTGACCCCTTAACCCTAGATCCCAAGCCCTCTTATACCCCCTAAACCCTAAACCCTAAACCCTAAACCCTAAACCCTAAACCCTAAACCCTAAACCCTTCTTACCTTGCCACGCATTGCGGGGGGGGGGGGGGGGGGGGGGGGGGCTGCCGCAGGCCCCTCGGGGCAGACCTCGGTGCCCTGTGGCTGGCCAGAGCTCAAGGATCGGCGCAGAAGTGTGTTTTTTAGGGGTTTAGGGTTTAGGGTTTAGGGTTTAGGGTTTAGAGGGTTGACTAGGGTTTAGGGCTCAGGGTTTAGGGGGGGTGTTGGGTTTGGTAGGGTTTGGGGGTTGAGCAGAAACACCCATCAAGTGCCGGGGACCAGAAGTGGTGTCTTCCCCTTCTTGCAACGTAGGTTGTCTTACAAACCCACTGATACAGTGTCCAGAAGTGGCCGATGTCTACTTCCAGGAGCCAGGCAGTAGGGGCAGAAGCCCATATTCCTTACCCTAAGCCCTAAACCCTAAACCCTAAACCCTAAACCCTAAACCCTAAACCCTAAATCCTAAACCCTAAACAGGGCGATTTCTACTTCCAGGTTTTGGCGTTTTAGGGTTGTGGGGGTGTTGGGGCTAACAAGCTTCAGGGTGTTCAGGGATAATAGGGATTAGGGCTCTGAGGTTTCGGGTTTAGGGTCTAGGGTTTCGGGTTTATGTTTTAGGGTTCGAAGGTTTTGCTGGGAGGGCTTTGGTGCTTTGGTTCTTGTGTGCTCAAGGGCCATTTGCTAAGCAGGATGTGTGGGGTGGTTTGGGGTTTTGGGCTTGGGGTCTTGGGTTTAGGGTTTAGGGTTTAGGGTTTAGGGTTTAGGGTTTAGGGTTTAGGGTTAGGGTGCAAATGCATTAAATGGGTCATGTCCAGGACTTCGGCTCAGGGGGTTTGGGCTCACTCGGTTTGGGGTTCTATGGAAGGCTCCTAAACCCGAAACCCTAAACCCTAAACCCTAAACCCTAAACCCTAAACCCTAAGAAGAGCTTTAGGGTGTTTAGGCTTTAGGAGTCTCGGGGTTTTCGGGGTTGGGGCTCTAGGGTTCTGTTTGGATGTTGGGTTCCAGGGTTTGCCCTAAACCCTAAACCCTAGGATGCAGATTTAGTTGTGGACAGATTAAATATGGAGGGTGCACTGGGGAGGTGTGCGGTGGTCACGGGAAAGCAATGTTTGCTGATGAGTGTTACGGTTAGCCTTTGATTTCTGCTTTGTTGGCCGAGAATCTATGCTTTAAGAAGGGTACCCTAAACCCTAAACCCCAAACCCTAAACCCTAAACCCTTTTTCAGGGTTGATTTCTTTGTAAGGGAACCTTGGGCCACCAGGGCAAAAAGGTACCTCTGGGCCGCCAAGCTGACGGTATGTGTTTTGAATGATATGAAGCAGGGTTTAGGGTTTAGGGTTTAGGGTTTAGGGTTTAGGGTTTAGGGTTTAGGGTTGATATTACTGTTTTTGGTGAGTGTATATAAGGTTCCTTTTGAACATTGGTGAGTGTATATATTGGGTGTCCTTTTATGAGTACAAGAAATAGAAACCCCACTTCATATGCTTCCTGGGGCGTCAGTGGGCGACGTGCCCGAACTCTAGGCCCGCAGCCCTAAACCCTTTAACCGGGTTTAGGGTTTAGGGTTTAGGGTTTAGGGTTTAGCCATTTAAACCCTAAGCCCTTTAAACCCTAAACCCCTCAAACCCTTTCAACCCTATACACTAAACCCTAAACCCTAAACCCTACAGCCTAAACCCTAAACCCTAAACCCTGGACCCTGGACCCTGGACTCTGTCAGGAGTCATTAGCCGCACTGCTGGGGCCTTGGCAAGCTGAAGGGTTTAGTGCTTCTTGGTTTAGGGTTTTCAGGGTTCAGGGTTTAGGGTTTCGGGTTTGGGGTTTAGGGTTTAGGGTTTAGGGTAGGGGTTTAGGGTTTAGGGTTCTGGGTTTTCAGGGTTTTCGGGTCATTGTGCGTAGGGTTACGGGGCTCCGGTCCTGTGCTTAAGGCTGCTAAGTTGAAGCTCTAGAGTTTGGGGTTCAGGGCTGAGGGGGGGGGGGTCAAGGGTTTGGGCTTTGGGGCGGGGAGTTAGGGGGTTTGAGAGGTTCCGGTGTTAGGATTTCGGGTTCAGGGCCTAGCATGTCATGGTTTTAGGGTGTAAGGTTTTAGGGTTTTGAGAGCGGTTTGACCCCAAACCCTGAACCCTGAACCTAACTTGAGGATGCCGGCGTGTGCTGGCATTGAGTTCTAAGTACAGTTATAGGGATGATTGCGTGCTCACGAGCCCCATGACTACTTACTAAGTCCCCCGATCCTCCGGCTGTAGCCAAACGCTGTCGAGCATGAGAGATCATGGGCTTCCCTATACTACCCCCCCCTAGGTTCTCCCCATAGTTAAGGCTATTTAGGGAATAAGTAAGCCTACTTAAGGGGGGGGACCAGAGGGGGGTAGTATAGGGGAACGCTCAAAGAGATGTCCGCATTTCGTGGCGCAGAGGACACGCTGTGTCACTGTTGCTGCCCTCGAGCGCACGAGGCAACCAACAAGGAGCACGGCGGCATGTCCTACGGCGCCGACCATGTGGTCAACGCATCGCCCAACGAAGACACGAACCCTAAGCCCTGGACCCAAAACCTTCAACTTCTCATAGTGAGAGCTCTTCATTCCAGACAATGTTGTGCTCCCAGATGTGCTGCCAGATATGTCAGTGCGCGGAAGCGGAGAACATTGAACGATGCACGGCAACTATGTAAAGCTGTGTTCCCAGCATTGCTGTGGCTTTCACTGTGTACCCGTTTGCTCAACGCACTGCGTTGCCCTTGCTGGATAAGCGCCAAAGTTTGTGTTCTCAGGGAAGCGCAAGACAAAGAGACGTGCGACCCTTTAGGACCACCACCCCAAACCCTAAATCCTAAACCCTTGAACCCTAAACATTGAAGCTGGGGCAACTGCGCTATGTGCGCAGCAAGCCCCAAATCCCAAACCCTAAATCCGTAACCCTATAAACTATATACCTTAAACCCTCAACGCCAGAATTCTACCCTGAACCCTCAACAACAGAATTTAAACCCTAACTACACCTTCAACACCAGAATTAAACCTTAGACCCTATAAACCCTAAACCTAAAACCCTAAACCCTAAACCCTAAACCCTAAACCCTAAAGCCCTAAACCCTAAACCCTAAACCCTAAACCCAGTAAGAGCAGGTCCCAGCTGGCCGCAGGAGCGCCGGGCGCTGGGCCTCCCTATCAGGATGCAGAAGGCCTGGACTTCAGAAGCGAAGGGTTAGGGTTAGGGCTTAACTAGGGTTTAGGGTTTAGGGTTTAGGGTTACGGTGTAGGGTTTAGAGTTTAAAATTTGGGGTATAGGGGTTTGAGATGGTTTGGGGTTCAGGATTAGGGATCTCTAGGGTTCAGGGCACAACCTTTCGGGTGCGAGTTTGGGCTTTTGGTTGAGTGATTTCAAGAAGGCCTGTGGCCGATATTTCAATGAAATCCTGTCATTCCAGGAAAAAGAAAAAAGACAAAAAACATGAAAAATAAAAGAACACCTAAACATTTTCAGAAGAAATAGTTTGGCCTGCAAAATAGAGTAAAAGAATTTGCAGAGCCCAACCCCAGAAACTCCCTGGAGTGCCCAACCCTAGAGAGACTCATCAGACGGGTGGGGGGGGGGGGGGAGGACGGCCAACAAATCCTTGAAACCATTGCATCAGAACTGAGCCTGTTGCCCTATCTGTTGTGATGTTATGAAGCTGTAAGGCTCCCTTCGAGTAGACTAGACAATGCAAGGAGAATTACTCAGAATTGTTCAATCCGTTGTAGCCTATCAACCAACTAGATGACATTTCGGTTTCATTTGATCACATTTCCAACAGAGAGTTTGAAGAAACTTTAGTGTGCTGTGCCTCGGTTAGATCGAGCGAACATGGATGGATTGCTGGATGTGGACGACATTCTTGGTGTTTTGCAGGAAGCTGAAGTAGATGTAGCAGCTTCAGCCAGTGCGCGCGGTCTCGGACCTGGGAAGAAATCCGGTCTCCGACCTGGACTAACTCCTGCAGAAGGATCGCAGAAGAAAGCGCGCAAGCTTGGCAAAAAAGAAGCATTGCTAGATCAGCAAGCGCGAAGCTACAATGCAAGTGGCCGCTCCAAAAATGAAGACTATTTTTTCCCTTTGCACGAAGCGGGGTTGCAAAGACCGAGCTTCACTGGTCGAGGGGCATGGAAAACTTGGTCACCTGCTGCCATTCTTAGAGCTGGTTTCAGTTTTGAGAAGAGCACCCAGCGACAGGTTGCGAGTTCCATCGAAGGTGCGGGACAATCTCACGCGGCTTCTTGTCGCCTCGTTGTGGCTGAGGCAGTCATGAATGGGCAAGGACATGGTTTGAAAAGACTAAAGGAGTGCATCAGCCAAGAGGTGAAGTCAGCCAAGTTGCTATATGCAATACGCAACATGATGTTCGATGAGTCTACATTCCACCTCAGCCTTGGCAATGCTGTTTCAGCTTCGTACTCGGTACTGTGCTCGCACGCGCAAGTCACATACCGTTTTGTGGGAGACACTATCATACATGACGAACATATTGCCAGATGCCCGGCCATTCTGAGTCCCGTAATGAATAGTGCCACAATGCACGCAGCTCTCTCCGCTGGCCCAGCTGGATTTGCACAGGTCCTCGAGGGCAACGTGAAATATGTTGCCACCCTGACAACTTCAGATGCCCATGCTGCAAATGTGCGAATGTTGAAGATGGTAGATCAGGAGCTGGGCCAGAATCATCTCTTCCTGCCAACGCTTTGCTTGCAGCATAGAGTTGGGAATATCATCGAACAGCTTACTAAGTTACTTGGAAACTTGGGAGGCAATTTTTCCATCTCAAAGGTGCTGAACAAAGGGAACTTGTTGAAGGCCTTGCATGACAGGGTTCGGGATTACTTCGACGAGAGAGAGAAATTTCAGATTCTCCCTGAAACACCGCCTGCATTGCTGGACGAGTGGTGTGAAGGTCAACTACAAGCACGAGACTTGATTCAGATGTGCATGAGTTTCGATGAGTCAGATCCTGTCCGTGCAGGTACTTTGCGGGAAGCTTTTCAGCGCTTCACGAACTTCTTTGCTGGGCCATGGACAGGACTGAATTTCTGCTTCTGCCCTTCATTGCCGCGTTGCTTTCAATGGTAGTGATTGCTAGTGGAGTCAGGGCGCATGATGGTTCAAGCAGTTCTGTTGTGATTGTAGTGCTGCGTGCAGGATGTACTATGCAACTTATGTACTGTAACACGATGCAGATTAGAATCATATTGGTTGTTTTCTTGCTGCTCGCCTTGAATGCACGTTTTGGCTTTGAGTGAGAAAGCGACAGCGATCAGTGAGTGAGACGTGTGTTCTGAGTGTTCTGTCTGCGCCTGCGCTTGGGGCAATGTCGGACTTTGCACCCTTGGATGCTCGAAGCAGGGCTCTCGAGGACTTCACCTGGCCAACGGATCAGCGAGACTCAAAGTCAAAGCAGCATGTGAAAAATGCGGCGGTCTCGGACCTGGCCAAAACTCTGGTGACTGACTCGTATGGGAGTCCCTCCTCGCTCCGCAAGCTTTGCTGGGACACCTACAATGCCAGGCTTGGCGGGCGAAGCGAGTGTGAGTATAGGTTCGGTTTGTGGGACTTGAAGGTATTCGACTTCGAACTCAAGAAGTGGTTACTGAGTGTTGATGAATAAATCAGGCAAGCCAAGAATTAGAATTAGTGTCAAAAGCTTACTTTCTCCCCAGGCATCCGATGCACATCGTCCTAGACATGCCGAATGGGGGTCAGTTGTGGCTCGGCGGAAAGGCAGCTAGTACCCAAACCAATGTGCTGCTTGAAAACGGCATCGGGGCAATCCTTGCCGCGGCTTCGAATCCTCCTGTCAGTCGGGACTCACGGGTGGAGTTTTTGGGCGTCATGGACGGAACAGGGGTCGCAGCAGGCGACATCGATCAAAAGCTGCTCGTGGAGAAGTTCCGCCGCGTGATCAAGCTCCTGAGCCAGGGGATCAAAATCCTCATTTCGTGCAGAAACGGAGCACATCGCTCCAGCTTTTTGCTTGCCCTTCTCCTCATCTTCTTGACAGGTCTCGCGCCCTACGACGTCTATGCCTATTTGCAGAAGCTCAGGCAGATCGTGGACTTGAGCTCGATGGCGCCTGAGTCGGTGCATTCGAGAAGGGGGCGTCCGAATGTGAGGCCTATCGATGCTCTGGTGGAGATGGGGCCGAAGTTTGGTGACGAAGGCTCCAAGGCCATGTCCAAGTTGGGACTGGCCGCCCAGAATGCTTTGGGCTTCGACCTCGAGTCTGGTAGCAGGCCGCGTCTGAATTTTCTGATGAACCCTGCTGAATTCCAGAATCTGGCCAGCAGCCTTGGCTGGAGACCCCTCTCTGAGGCCCGATGGATGAATTGGGGGTCGTGAGTTGTAAATTTTAAACTTAAACAGTACAGGATAAACAATAAAAGCATGAAGTCATCACAAGCAGGAAGTGGTTACTTAGGCTTGTGGTTGACCTTTCGTGGGCAAGTGGCCAGATCGTCGTTCCACGGCTGGACTGAGATTGACATTGAGCTAGTGGAGTCGCAGCCAGAGCCACCGCGGACTCCGAGAGGCAAACCCAAAGCTATGCCACCCAGCGCAAAGGCAAAGGCAGCCCAGGCCAGAGAATTAAACGGGGTAGTGCAGATATAGAGGATGAGCTCTGGGAGGAAAAATTCAAACTGTTCACAACTAATGCTCTTGGCTCTTGTCCCTTCGGGTCCTTCCGAGTCTTCCACCGGCTAAGCGTGACCGCGAACGAGCCGACATTGACTCTGCCTCGGAGGCCATCACATGATTGATTAACTAGCTAGTACTAAATGCTGTTTGGAGACTAGAAACCTCACCGAAATTTTACAGTTTTAAGAGTAAAGTCCTGCTTCCGACCCCCAGGGAGCTTCGTGGATTATGGCCTCGGAGGCTGAGCAGACCAGCGGCATGTCCACCGTGGAGTCCGTGGATTTTATTTCCTCCGAGGGAGAGACCGATCGGTCTCGGACCTGGACAGGACAAGCAGCGGGATCGTCGAGAGGTTGGCAGCAGGTGCAGGCTTCCAGCCGTGCCAGGCAGATGGCAGGCACGCCTGCCTCCAGTGGCAAGTCAACCCCACGAGCTGGCTACAAAGAGCAAGACTTCGAGCTGCTTGCGTCCCTCATGTCCAACCTCAAGAAGCTCGACCAGGAGCTACGTGCCAGGGGCGGGGACGAGGAGGGCCGGACAGATGATGCATTTGTACCCACAGGTGCCTTGAAGCTTAGGTGTAGGAGCCAGTGGTTCGAAGATTGATGTTGTGGTTTATTAGATCAGATCAGTTTTAAGTTTTCGTTTGAGTTTGAAAATCATGAATCATGCAGGTGCCGATGATGACTCCGGAGCCGGTGTCGCACCTGGTGATGAAGAACTTGAGCAGCCAAGCACCCACGAGGAGTTGCAGCGGCTTTGCGAGCTCATGGCACAGCAGCAGGCGCACCTTACACAGCTCTTGGAGTCGAGGCAGACGACCGGCCAGGACGATCGTGAGACGGGATTGCTGGACATGATCTTGCGCAACGATGAAGCTGGGGCCCTTGCGATGGTCAGAAGCCTCAGGCCAGATGTCTTGGCCAGTGTGCAGGACCTAGCCGGCATGACGGCCCTGCACTGGGCGGTGCGAGTCGGCTCTCTGAGCCTGGTTTTCGCCATCTTGGAGAAGACGCCCCAGCTGGCGGATCGGCCTACCACTGTGGGGCGGAGCCCGCCTCATTGGACGGCCTTGATGGTGATGGCCGACCAATCCTACCGGCCACATCATCGCCAGATGGCTGCAGCCCTTGTGTCGCACATGTCCCAGACCGCACTCAGTGTGCGTGCAGGGACTTTGTCCACGGTGTCGCACCTGGCAGCTGCCAGGGGCCACATTCACCTTCTCAAGAAGGTGTTGTGGCGGTTGAACGACATGGGCGGGCATCAGGCGGTGTCGGAGCACCTGGCGATTGTGAACTCAGTCGCTTCTTGGCTTACTAGTACACGGGAGTTTCAGGACTTTCGGTTATCTTTTGAGATTCTCTTCGCCCAAAACTGACGTTTACATTTGTGATCTTTGAATCAAGAGTGAAACACGAGATTGTGGACCTAGCTATGGAACTCAGGGCCGCTCGTGCCTGGACGTGGCGTACAAGTGCAGCATGGATACAGCGAATTATTTGCTGTGGTGGCAGGCTCCATCGTTCCAGCCACCTCCCACTCAATATGAGCGTTCCCTACAGCACCGCATCAGGCGGGCTTTATTTTCGATTTGATTGTTCAATAGTAAAGTAAAGACCCAAGACGCACACCGAAGATAAGGCCTGTGTCTTTTTTGTCTACTAGAGTTACTAGTTACTAGATTATGTTTGAGCTAGACCGACCCCTTAAGCCCGAGCCTTCCTTGAGACTCAACCCATGCTTTCTCTTTCTCTCCTTGCAGGCCGAACTGAACACGGTCTCGGACCTGGACTGCTGGGCGGTTTGCGCCGCGAACCTCATGGTCATTTTGCCAGCCGTGATCAGCGTCCTTGTCCAGACTTGGAATGCTGGAGCTATTTCCCAGCTTTCTCATAAGAGACCCATGTCACATGTCATCCTCTCTCGGCCCTGTGAGTCATGAATCACTAAAGTACACTTGTTTTAAGGTTTCACTGCACGGCCTCAGGCCTGGAGAGGTTGACATGCTGCTTTGCCTTGCTTTCAACTGCAAAACAGCTTGCAGTTGACGTTCTGCAATGACGCAGTGCCCAAAAAGAGAGAGATTGTGTGTGCTGTGGGATCTAAACCCTAAACCCTAAGACTTAAGCCCTAAGCCCTAAGCCTAAGCCCTAAGCCCTAAGCCCTAAGCCCTAAGCCCAAAGCCCAAAGCCCTGAGCCATAAGCCCTAAGACCTAAGCCCTAAGCCCTAAGCCCTAAGCCCTAAGCTAAGCCTTAAGCCCTAAGCCCTAAGCCCTAAGCCCTAAGCCCTAAGCCCTAAGCCCTAAGCCCTAAACTTAAGCCCTAAACCCTCAACCCTAAACCCTCAACCCTAAACCCTAAACCCTAAACCCCAAACCCACTAACACAGCCCCGGTTAGGAACTTTGCCAACATTCGTATCTTGCCATCTTGACTTGATATGTGTAATTTTGGGAAGATAGGTCTCCAAGGACCCTGCCTTGATTCCTTTCCAAGAATGGAGTGTACGAAGCCCTCCCATATTATAACTAGAGTAGATCTGACCCAAGAGCCTGCAGGACGGCCGGCACACATCTGCAAGAACTCTTGCTGTGCAACTCCCGAGGAGGCCAAGGAGAAGGCTGCGAACTTGTTCAGGGAGTGCCTTCTAAGGCCTATTGCAGTGCCAGCTTTGAACAAATGGACCAAAGTATTTCCTTGTATCGGTGCCTGTGTCTTGCTTTCCTTCTTTGGAGATGTGGGTCAGCATGTCTTTTCAAAGCAATTCGGCAAGCATGATAAGCATGAGACTGATACGCTCTCGGAGCTGGATAGCTCAGGGGATGCTGAAGATGAGGCTTTGCGTGTGCCAGTCAATGAAGTGAAGCGATGGAAGAAATTGGCCCGAAAGAGGAATGCCAAAGCCACCAATTTCATGTGTGATGAGAATTCTCGGTTCATCAACCTTCTTTGGCTTCACATCGCAGCACCCTGCATGAGATTGCACTGGGTTCTTTTCAAAACAGCCACCTGGTATTCAGACCGCCCAAAGACCACAGAGGACGAGCGACCTACAGTGACTTTGAAGGATTTCTGCAATCCAGCCACCAATCCTGGTCAGAAGGTTCTGTTTGAACTTGTGCAATTGCTCAGAGACCCGGCCCGCGGTTTTTCTGCAGTGTGTTTTTTTTTCGGCAGATTCCAGGATTGGCCTCAGGCCCGGAAGCGCGTAGCCCTCAGATCTGTCTTGATAGTGGTGGGGCAATTGGTACGGAAAATCATTGAGCCCTTCAATACGTACCCATGGCAGTTGGCCACTTTGGCCGACCCTGATTCAGACGAGCGTATTCGGAGGATCTGTGCCCGGGAGCTTTTTCAAGCACCCCCTTGTTGTGTAGATTCAGGCTGCAGTGCCAGGCTTCGAGCCACCAGTGTGGATGCTTGTGTCAGTTCTGATTTCATGGAATTTTTCCAGGTGCTCTTCGAAAGGGTTGTTTTGACATCTACGTTTGTGGAGCGTAGGTTTGCCCACTTCTCTCATTGGACTGATGTGAAAGGTAAAGGCACTTCTTTGTGCCTGTTGGCTGCCAAGCATGTCACACGAACATTTAAGGATGTCGTGGATCTTTGGAAGAAACGTACACTTCCAGATACTGCCAGAGGGGGTACTACTAATGCCAGTCGTCCATCTTGGTGCCGAAAGTCCCAGGCAGCAGCTCGGTTGAACGGGTATCACATGTTCAGCCAGGACAGAGCAGCAGACAGGGATCGGTCTTGTCAAGGAGCAGAGGAGTCCGCAGCATTCTTGGATGATGCTTTGCAGGCATGGCGTGCTTTGCCGGAGGAGGAGAAGCAAACGTGGAGCCAACGGGCTCGAGAGAACAATGCCCGCAAGTCTGCTTTGCAGATGGCTGCAGCTGCAGAAATGCCTCCAGATGTTCCCGGCGGGCCTTGGAATCTGAGCGTTCCCTCAGAACAGTGGCCTTTGTCTGAGAAGTTCCTGGGTGAATTTCTGGAAAGTTGCGGTGGCTTCTCTACTGCTCGGAATCACTGGGTTCAGGCGGGGTGCACTTGTCGGTGCTTGGTGTTGGTGTCGCAGGGTGGATTGTCCAGCAGTGCTGCTTCGAATGGCTATATGATCTTTATGATATACTATGAGCCCATATTAGCTATTGAGAATTGCAGAATTGGAAATCTCAATGTGTACTGTTGAGTCCTTGTGAGCCTTCACCCATGGCAAATTTTTATTGTAACCTTGCGTTGTGCTTGCGCAGGCCAATGCGGAGCCAGTGAGCGTGTATGAGGACATCGACGTGCGAGACAACAGGAGCCTGTTCCAGGTGTGCCCTCCTGGCGGTTGTACGTCTGCGCTTTCTCCAGCAGAGTTGGCGTGTTTCCATCGGTTGCACACAGGTTTGTCAGTCCTCATCAAGAGATTCGATCCAGCAAAGAAGCATATCAGCGAAATGCCGCTCACTCTCCTCTTTGAGTCACAGCAGATGGGGGTTGGGGTGGGGGCGATGCTTTGTTTTCGCACATACTTGCACAACATCGATGCTCTTCTCCTAAGACTTGATCCAAGCCTCGTCTTCGACGAGAAGCCGCCTTTCGACTTGCGAATTGAGAGACCTGCCGGAGGGCGCAAGGCCTTGTCGTATTGGAACGACATGTCTCTTTGTGTGGAAATGGCCAGCGTTGCTCAGGATTGGGTTATTAGTCGATTGGCCTTGGGGGACTTGCAGGGAGGCTTGCTTTCTTTCAGGGTGGAAGGCAAGTTTCCGCACGACCTTGAGGAACTCTGGACAGCTGCGCAGCAACTGAAGGAACAGGAACGTGCTCTCCGAGCCCTTCGACTATTGCAGAGGGCCGAACACCAAAGGGCTAGGCGTGGCGGGGGAAGGGGTCGGGGACGTGGTGCCAGGGCTGGTCGTGCTCGTGGTCGTGGACGTGCAAGGCAGCGTGCAGTTCCGGATGATGATTCCAACGCTGCCTCCGGATCGGGCTGGGATGGTGATAGTGAAGGAGACAATCCTGATGACGATGACGATGGTGATGATGCATGGATGTTGAATCCACCAGGCTGTGCCGAAGCAGCACCTTCCACTGTGCAGGCAGATGCCTCAGAGGAGCCAGACCAAGAAGCTGCGGCCTCGGGCCTGGCAGAGGAGGTGCCACCTCCTGCTCCTCCTCCTCCTCCTCCTCCTCCTCCTCCTGCGCAGAGAGGCCAACAACGGCGACCTCGCCACAACCAACGTCGGGGCGTCCCTTGGGGCCCCTTCGAGTTGGCGCCCATAGTGCCTCACCATGGTCGAACGACTGGTTGGGGAGCAATTTGTGGCCTTCATCGAGACAGGGGGGAAGGAGCAAGCACGACCCAATGCAAGAAGGCCGTCTCTTGTGGTGCCATGGACCAAGCCACCTGCCTCTTGAGGCTTAAGCGCTGGCTGTGCGCAGGCTTGGATGATGATCTGTGGCCGCCACAGCGGAAGCGGAGCCATCATGTCTCAATGGGGGGTCCAGGTCTGCTTGAGTTTGCGGACGGATTGTCAGAGGAATACATGGATGAGATCATCCAGAACTATGTACGAAACCGCTAGAAGGAGTTTGTTTTAGGGGGGGGGGGGGTTAGGGTTTAGGCTTTAGGGTTTAGTTTAGGGCCTTAGGGTTTAGGGTTCAGGGTTTAGGGTTTAGGGTTTTGTCTTTGTCCTTTCAGGCAGGACTTCGGCCTTGGGCCTGGCTGCAGAGCAGATTCATCCAACGTGCAGCAGGTGAGGGAGGGACTTGGCGTGTGCTTGGGACACGTTCTTAGTGCAAGACGGATTTGCGCGTGTTGAATAGGGAACAGAGTGGATAGACGCGATGTGTTTGTGTTGGCTGTGTTGATCGGTCTTTATTTATTTTTTCGAATTCAGGAAAATAGTAATACAAAATAAAAAAAATATTATAAAGAACATATTTTGTTTAACTTTTTTGGGTTTTTTTGGTTTCTGTTTTGTTTTTTTTTTTATTTTTTTGGGATTTTCCAACGTGAACTCAAAATATGGTTTTAAGTTCACATTCCATGGTTTTGAGTTCACATTTGTAGGTTTTAAGTTCACATTCCAAATTTCGGAAAAAGTTTCAATTCTGTAAAAAAAAACTAAAAAAAACTAAAAAAAAGCTTAAAAAAACTCAAAAAACACAAAATTCAGACCTGACAAATCTAGAACTTCAAAATATCTACTTCTGTATACTACCAAGAATGGAAACAAGAAGCATCGCCAAATTTTGCCCTGACTCGGCCCCATTTGCAGGTGCTGGCATGAAGACTTGAGGGCTGGGTGCCCTCGCCGCGGCCTGCCTTTGGTGTCCGGCCTAGTGACAGGGACAGGCTAAAAAGCGAAAAGAACACACAGGACCAACTGTAGACTGTAGGAGTGATGAGAAGCGTTCTGGCTGTTGAGTGTATGGCAAGGGCTTGTGACATCGCACGGCGACGGCTCAGGCTCAGGCTCAGAAGATAGCTGAGGCTTCTTTTGCCCTAGGAATCCTAGGACGTAGCGCGGGATGCCTACCAGTAGTAGTAGCAGCAGCAGCTCAAGCAAGAGCCACCAGAAGCGGCAGGCTGCGGAGAAGCAGATGGAGCAGGAGATGGCAAGTCTCTTCGGTGGGTCCAAAGGAAGCAAGAGGTCTAGGTCTACCTGCGAGGAAGACACGGATATTCCCATCGCGTTGGGAGTTTCTAAGCCGTGCGTCTGTGGCTTCTGTGGCTGTAAAAGCACAGATCCCGACCCCTTGGCGATGGAGGGGGATGAAGAAGCCGCAGTGCCTTGGGGTAAATACCGGAAGGTAGAAACGGCCTCGGGCCTGGTACGCGTTCCTGTGGGCAACCTGGATTCCATTTGTAGGAATGTGTACCGCTTGCTCGGGTACCCTCACAAGTACGGTGCCCACGCCGAGTACCTCAAGAAGGTCAAAAGCAAGCAGGTGGATCACGCAGGCTTCTTATCGAGCAGAGACGAGTATATCAAGAAGCAGAAGGGGGGCAGAAACCGCAGCAGCAAGAAGGACAAGGACGACCTCAAGGCAGTGACGACCTTGAAGACCATGAGTGACATGGGAACCAGGTTCGAAGGCCCGAAGATGGTCTTCATAGATGTCAACGAGTGGGATGCTGCCACCGATGGTGCTTTGGACGAGAGCCAAGTTGTCGAGGAGGTCATCGGAGGGAAGACGGTCAGGGGGTGTTACAAGAGAGTTGGCAAAAAAGGGCACTACGACGTCCGCAGCTTCGACCAGAAAGTGCTGCGTACAGAGACTGAAGAGCATTCTCGCAAGAATGCCAAGCAACAATTTGCAGAAGAGAGCCTGAAGAACAAGACTGAAGCCATCCAGGCTGTGTTTCAAGGCAATCAGCGTGATCGTGAGGCAGTGGCCAGTGAAGGCAAGCACATTGATTGCGATGATCTCCTCGCCCTGCTGGCGAATCTTCCCGGTGCAGGGTCGGCCTCAGGCCAGGCTCCCGGGGACTCCGGGACTCAGGACGCAGATGAGGCTGCCGACGGGGACGAGACATTGAATCCGGACCATTTCAGCACAGACTCAGGAAGTGAAGATGATGATGCTGGGGCGGCCGCTGCTCGCCTGCAGTCTTTAGGCAGGAAGAAGGCAAAGGCAACAGCAAAGGCCAAGAGCAGCAACTCCAGAGCTTCAACGCTGGCGGGGGGTGCCTTGAATAAGGCTGCCCCTCCGGTCTCCGGGCTGCAGAGCGTCAAAGCGGCCAAAACAGCCTCAGTGAAGGCTTCAGAGACCGCTCCTGTGGCAGTGAAGAAAGAGCCCGGCCTTCTGGCGGCAGGCTCTGTGCTCTCGCTGGACGGTCGAGGCCTGAGATTGAAAGAAAGCTTGAAGAAAGAGCACTGCGATCTTCTTGCGAGGCTCCAACATGCTCTCAACGCCTATGACGACGACTACAACTTCACCGAAAAGAAACAGCACGCAGGGAAGCAGAAGTCCCTGAACCTCATCCTGTCGGCGGTCTCGAACCAGGTGAAGCGCGTAGAGAATAGCGCCAACAAGTCTGCCTTCTCAGACGAGCTTGGAAACTTCGAGGCCTTGAAGGCATTGGTTGCAACAGCCATGGAGTTCAATTCGGCCTTGGGGGGCACGTCAAGCAACTTGAAAGCCCTGGAAGAGGGGTACGCCCAGTTGTCGCCTGAGGGTCTTCGTGTGGGGTGTTGCTTCTGGTTCAAGCTCCTTGAGACGAAGTTGGAGGAGATGATTCTTTACCGGAATCTTGCAGGGTATGTGGGTCTACTCACCGAAGAGAGCTACGAGGCTGGGATTGTGCGTTTGAAATAATACAAGCCTCACGTGTTATTTGCGCGTTTGTGTTGATGTAGAGGCTGCAGAGGTTTCACGTTTCGACGTTTAAGCTTAGAAGTGGGTTAGTCTCGGCCTCGCTGCCTATATACACCCTACAGGACCAAAAAAAAGAACCTAAGGAGTAGTAAGGAGTCAAGGGTACTTCCGGATCTGTAACATAAGCCGGCCTGATTAACTCATGACTCATGACACAGGTGGACAAGTTGAAGGGCATGGGCAAGTTGGCAGACGTGAAGTCTTTTATCCACGCAGATGTGGAAAGTAGGATGACGGCTTTCTTGAGCAAGGAAGACGTGCTGAAGCATGGATCGTGGGGTCGCGAGCAGGCTCGGCTGCTGGCCGCGGAAGTGTGCCAGGCTTATGAAGGTGAGAACGCCTTGCTTTCAGATGTATCAGGCACCGCCAGCTTGATACGAGACCTCTTGCAGAAGGACGACCTGCAAGCCATGAGTGCGGCCTTGGAGCGTTTCAAGAATGTGGATGAAGATGAGGTCCTCGATGATGGACTCTTCCAATTCCTTCAAAAGCACAAGACCGGCATGGCCATCATTGCAGACTGCACAAAATGCATCCAGGAAGGCGAGGTTCAATTGCAGGGGGAGTTGTTTTTGAAGAAGCTGCAAGAGGCCTTGAACAGCATCAAGTCAGTTGAGGATCAGATGACTGCCTCCGCCATCTCTGATGTGGTGAAGACCTTCTGGGATTTGAAGTCAAGCAAAACTGTCCCAAACATGGTCTCGAAACACAAGGTGGCATTAGATGTCTTGATGAAGGACTTCTGGCGTTTGGTCAGCTCTGGTGTGAACAACATGCTCAGCAGCACATTGGCATCCTGCCTGGAATTACTTCTGGACCAACTTGATAGGAAGCGGCAAGGGCATGGAACGTCGAATGAGTCAAATGCCAATGGCTTTAGTGACTCGCATGAGACGGAGTTTGCCGAAGTGTTGCGGGAGATGAAGTGTGAGGCCCTATTGAAGCACGAGTTTTGGAAGCAGGCAGGCAAGTGCCTTCCGCAGACCTTGCAACAAGACTTGACCAGATTCGAGAAGGTGAGCATCACGGTCTCGGACCTGGCTTCGTATGTGTTTTGTAAGGAGGATAAACTCCGTGCGAGAGAGGTGACCTCAGACAACCTCAAGGAGTGGGCCAGTTGCGATGTTGAAGTGTGCCGGTTCTTGAAAGAGCCCGCCTTGCTGGAAGCCTTCCAATCTGTCTTCATGAAAGTTGCAGCAGACGAGCTTCACTCTAGGGCAATGGCCGTTTTCGAGCGGGTTGGCTGTTTGGTGGATGCATGCCTTTCTCAGGTCTCTGGCTTGAACAGTATGGCCTTGTCCTTGGCTGATGTGAAGGAGAAAGACGTCTCAATGTTGGGGAAAGGTCTGTGGACGCCTGTGCTGACATGTTTCGTGCAGGCCTGGTTTGCAGCAAACTGTACAATGGCGAAACTATGTCGTCATTTCTTGTTTTTTGTTCATAATTCACAAGCCAACCACCCAGAGCTGTCTAATCGAGGAGAACTGTAGCAAGTCCATAATTTATGTCGTTAAGTCCTTAAGTTTCCGTGCAGACCTCGGGTCTGACTTTCTCGGCAATGTGCTTCGATCATTCTGGTCTTGGGTGTTATTTTGAATTGCGAATTATTCTGACATATTCTGACTGACTCGACTCATTTGAAACATTTGATTCGTTTGTTCTACTGTCATGCAGTCGTCGAAATAGTCTAAACCGTTTCATCTGAGCGAGGTCGCGAAATGCACAGTGCTAGCCTCCCAGAACTCGGGTTCCTTGGCTGACGTCATGGCTGCGGTGGAAGCTCAGAGGCAGTGTGCAGACGGTGCCAGAGGTGCCAGCGAGCGTTGTCGGAATGAGACAGACGTGGACTCAGATGGCAAGTTTGCTGCCACGAAGCTGGGGTGCGAAGATTTCCAGGCTTGGCTTGCCAACCTTGGTGATGAGCTTCTGAAGAAGCTGTTCCTTCTTGCCCTGGATGAAAGGACGCAATTGAAGGAGGCGTACGACAAAGGCCAATCCCTATTAGACAAAGTGCCACCATTCAGTCTGGACAATGAGGACAGGTACCGCACGGTCATGGCGAATATACACAAAAGTTTCGCAAGTGTGGGCGGCAAGCTACGGGAACACGCAAAAACGGCAGATCGAGTTAGAAAAGTCGTGCCTGAAGGAGGGGTAGACACGCTGAGTCCCGGGCAGACTGTGGCTTCTGAGCCCTCGCAGTCCACGGGGCTTCTCGAGTGGTTTTTTGCTGCTGAGCAAGCCCAGGCCTTGGGACACACCCTCGTGTGCCACCTCAACGTCTATGCCATGGTCACTTTGTTACGGTCCCCCGTCATGGGAGCCAAAAGCGACACCGGCAAGAAGCAGGCCAAACAGTTGCAGGACATAATCCGCACCCTTCTCGAGAAAGACCTGCTCGTGACACCTCCTCATTCGCAGTTGCCCCTGTCAAGCCTACTGAAGTTGTGCAAGGATTGCGAAGACGCGGCGTGGGCCTGAGCTTCCCAGATTCTGTGCGCTTGTGCTTGTGTGTGTGTGTGTGTGTGTGTCTGTCTCTGTGTGTGTGTGTGGAGCAATGAGTGATCAGTGATAAGTGATAAGTGCTACTTGTGATGTGTGATGTGTGATGTGTGATGTGTGATGTGTGTGTGTGTGTGTCATGGAGCCTTAGGGTTTAGGGGTTTAAGGGTTTGGGTGTTGCTTTAGGATTTTAAGGTTTAGGGTTTAGGGTTGAGGGTTTAGGGTTTCGCAGGGACTTGAGGATTCAATAAGTTGGGAAATGCCCCTGCGTTGCCCGAATGTATATGTCTAGTTAAAGACACCGACTAGCAAGGCCCGGTAAAGGTACGGGAAGACGTTGACCGCAAGCCTATGTATGCTTGTTATCAGTCTCTGCTTCGATTAGATGGGTCGCTCTTCTGAAGTTCTTGTTCTTGTTCTTTTTGCATGGTACCAGGTCAAGCGAACCGTCGGTAAATGTACTGTGGTTGTGGACGAGAAATGGCCGAAGTGCGAAGAGTCCGTGAAGAAGCTGAAGGAGTTAAGTGAGCTACCCCAAGTAATCCCGACCCCAGCTCAAAAGAAGCCCGATGAGTGGACCGTGGAAGGCAACGGAAGGCGGCTGAGGAGGAAGGTGTCTATCCCAGACTTAGCAAGCGCGGCCACTGCGGCCACGCCCGCAACAAGTGGAGCTGCTGAGGCAAAACCTTCTCCGCCCTCAGGGCTGGGCGTTGTGTCCTGCGCAAGCCACGGGCCCGAATGCCCAGATCCGTCGACACCGTCCCAGGCAACCCAAGACAACAAGCAGCCGCTGTCGCCGAATACGGAGAAAGTCATGCTCCGAGCCCTGGAGCAGAATCTCTTCGAGGAGGAGGAGGAGGACATATCCAAGCAACAACTTGTGGTTCCGGAGCCGGCTTCATTCGCTGACAGTGACAGTAGTTCCACGGTGCGCAAGGTCCTGGATACCGATACGATTGGCAAGCCAGAAGCACCCGAGAAAAATGCAAACATGACAAAAGACCAAGATGGCACAAAAGAGAAAGACTCTTCGAAGAAGCACAAGAAAGACAAGAAGAAAGACAAGAAGGAGAAAGCTGAGAAGAAGGACAAAGCCGAGAAGAAGGACAAGGAAGGGAAGAAGGACAAAGATGGGAAGAAGCAGAAGGAAGTGAAAAAGGAGAAGAAGGAGAAGAAGGAGAAGAAGGAGAAGAAGGATGAGGAAGGCAAGAAGAAGAAGAAGAAGAAGAAGAAGGAGAACGAAAAGAAAGACGACAGCAAGCAAACGGACCAAGACAAGGAGGCAGCTGCAAAGAAGCGGAAGCTTGCCGAGCCTGCCAAGACGGCAGCCCCAGAGCCTGCTGCGCCGAGTGGAGGGCGTGGCCGGGGTCGCGGCCGTGGCCGCGGCAGAGGCGGTGCTGTCGGGCAGGGCAACGATGGCAGAACGGAAGGCAGGACAAGGGCGGCTTTGGCTAAGTTAGACACGACAAGCAGAATGCCTCTGGCAAAGATGTTCGCGTCCATGAAGGTCGAAAAGAAGTAGCAACCTCGGCCTTGGGCCTGGCATGCGAAAAGGTGAGCGCCGAAAGGCGAAAGCTTGCAGACAAGGACGACTTTCGAGAGATCATTCGTGTAGGCCTGCTTCTCACACAGCAGTTCAGCAGTAAGACCCCATGAATGTGACTGTACAGCATTGTGCCCTGTTGCCTGCGCCGGCTTGTCAGAAAAGACTGCGAGCACATGTTTCGTTGATGCTGCGTGCGAGTCTTGTTGGTATGATATGTGTAATGTTCAGTGATGATGTTACATTTTCATGTTCATATTAATATTCATGTTCATGTGATTCATGTTCGTGTTATGCTCATGTTTATGTTCATGTTCATGTTCTCCTGCAAAGAGCTGGTTGACGGTGCCCGGCATTTCCCTGAAGGATCGCAGCGTCAGCCGGCGAAGCAACTAGGAACTACCCAAGTCCAGTGGGGGATGTAGATAAATCTGTAATTCCTTTTCAGTTTGGTTTGTGGAGTTTTTTGGTTCAGCTTAGGCTTAGGGTCAGTGCTGGAACGGTTTCGGTTAAAGTCGTGGGTTTTTGTGAGACCTCTCCGCTCGGCTGCACGGAGCGTTGTTTCAAGTTTGCCATGCAGCGCGAAGGCGAAGGTGCGACAAAGCGGGCCTTAAGGCGCCACGCCACGGTGGATGGCACGAAGCTGCAAGAGCAGATGGACCTAGCTCGCACGCGGCAGATTGCAGCAGAGACCTTGCACGATGGCACTTGGTTGTTGCAAGCAGCTCGCGAAAACAGCAACATCGTCTCGGACTTGACAAACCGGCCACTTTTTCCATCACGGTCTCTGACCTGGGGATCGTGCTGCAGTGGCTCCGAAGGCGTTCGGTTTGTCTTTGAGGCCCTCCAGCTGCTTGCAGCAGAACATGGGCACGGCATCACTTTCCAACACATGTTCAGTTGCGAATCTGCACCTGAGAAGCGGCAATGGATTCAGCTTGTGTCTGAATTTGCAGGCCCGGTCATGCAGAAAATTAAATCATGTTTGGATGGAGGTGTCGAGGTCGAGGACAACGAGGACAATCTCATTGCCCGTGAGCGCTCGCCCTGCCTCTTCACGGACATATGTACCTTGGGCGGTAGCCATAGTGAGTGCGTGGCTCATGGGCCCAACCATCAAGGCACTTTCAACTCTAGTGGGGTCTCTGAGCAAGGAAGGGGTCGTTGCCCTGTCCCACAGGTGGATCTTCTAGTCGTTGGTACAAGCTGCAAGGATATGTCGCGAGCCAACAACAGCAGCAGCAAAGGTCGAAGTCCTCCTGTCTTGCTACAGGAGAAGTCAAAAGGCGGCAGCGCGCAGACTTTCCAAGGTATGCTGGCTTTCATTGATGCTCACTCCCCTGGCATCGTACTGTTTGAGAATGTTGATGCCATGGAGGACAAGACAGGGGGCAACAGCAATAATCTGGATATTGCCCTAGCTGAGATGAGCAATAGAGGGTATGAGAGTCAGGTAATCATGACAGACGCCTCTACGATGGGCCTTCCTGCACGCAGAAGACGTGTCTACATTGTGTTTTTGAGAGTTGCAGGCAATGCTTTGGTGGACTTTGCCCAGCGTTCGATGACAGCCATGTTTGCCACGTTAAGAGCCGCCATGTGTGTTTGCGTACGCTCTGCTTGTTGCGGCACGGAGATTTTCTTGCCAGATGACGATGCAGCAGTGCTCTCGGAGCTTGAGGTCCGTCAGCAGAAGCGGGCAAGGCAACAAGAACTGGCTCAGAAGAGTCCACCTGCGGCTCAAACGTGGATGGACTCTCACTTCAATTTTGCACGAAGCATCAAGTATCGTTGGGGCGAGCCCGTGCCCCAAGATCTCAAAGAGAACCCATGGTTCCGGACCTTGACAGAGAGAGAGCAAGATGTGTTGAGATTGTGTCGCGTGCAAGCCCATCAGCTGCAGAGAGATTCAACACCAATACTTTTCACGGACGTGTCGCAATCCATTGTGAGGGCACTTACCCCATCATTTGATGGCAATGACGGCCATCATGTTTTGCCCACCGTGTTGCCCCGCATGCTCTTGTGGCACGACCAAATTGGACGTCTCCAACTTGGTCGTGAGGCTTTGATGTGTCAAGGCTTTCCAGCTGTGCCGTTCTTGAATCACTGCGAATCCGTGAAGCGGCCTCAGGCCTGGTCCCCAAGCGAGAACCTCCTGCAAGATTTAGCGGGAAATGCGATGGCGCTCCCAGTCCTACTGGGGATACTCCAGAGCATGTTTGTGTCCTTTTCTTGGCAAGGCTCGGCTGACATAGACTTGGCCGACGAAGAAACAAAACCACCTCGAAGGGCCGTCAGTGAAGAGGCGTGCCTTTAGTGATGTTTCTTTTCTTGCTTTCTTGCTCCATGTACTCTCATGTGAAATATTTTCGTAGTTGTCATCCAAGCTTGTCGTTGTGAAGGACATCCACACGGCGCTCGCTGCTATCAACATGGTCTCTGACCCTGGTCCTGCGCAGAGGGTAGAGCCAGAGCAATCCAAGTCCGTTTCAGTAAGATCGGCTCTGCAAAGCCGCATTCTCAAGCGAGCCAGGAAGAACCTTGAGGGTTCCGACCTTTAGCCAGTAGCTTCAGCCGCTATTACCACTATTAGCCCACCCACCGCCAGGAAGGCCCGCGGGAGAAAAAACAGACAGCGCGTTCAACAAGCAATCGTTCTTGCTTCTTGGTTTTGCCAATGTGGTCCTTGTGACTTAGACTTGCCGGCCGTGAGGTAGCCATATATAAGATGTCTGGATCATTAGCCAAAAGGACGAACATCAGAATAGAATGTTTTTGAAACCATGTTCGGGATTTTTGTGTTTTTGGGAGGTTTTTGGCAGAAATTCTTTCAATTTTACAACATTTTCGAGAAAGATTTTCGAAAAATGTTTTCCTCTTTTTTTTGTGTTTTTTCATATGCAACATGACCTATATAGCCCTAAACCCACAGGCCTCCTGAAATCACCCAAGCTTTTGGTGTGGCGTGTTCACCTTTTCAGCAGCACTGTCCTGTCAAGTCCGTATACAAGGACAACAGGGCCCTACTAGGACCAAGAAGTAGGCCCTTATTCCTTTCATCTTTAGGGTTCGGGTTCCCTTAGAAGCTCCTTGAAAACAACAACGGTACCCCTTTCTTACTCCAACCCCAACTATCTCCCTACTTGCAGGTGCTGGAACCCTGAGCCCTGGGCCATAACTTCTGCGTGGAACTGTTTCGTTAACTTCCCGGGTTTAGGGTTTAGGGTTTAGGGTTTAGGGTTTAGGGTTTAGGGTTTAGGGCTTCCCCGCATGAAGCCTTCGAAACTCCAGCCTACCTAGAAGGCCGATTTGATTTGAGGCTCAGTGTTTGTGTGGCCCTA